TCCCAACCCCCCCCCCCCCCCCACACACTTATATTTGATTTGGTCTTGACTTTCTGATCTTAGTTATGATATACCTTTCTAAACTGTCCTTTTTACTAACTCACTGTTGCCATATTTATTGCTTGACCTTTAACTGTAGAGCACCTACTGAATACAGCAGAACATTTCCTAATTGTGGATTAAAGTCCTATAGTTGGACAGTGTGAATATTGCAATCAATAGGGAAGACAGAAGTGTATAGAAAAACCAAGTACTGTAGTTAGAATTACTGTATTAAGACTTCCTAAGGTCAAGAAGAAGCACATTCACAATGGATGCTTCTAGTGACTAAGAGGAAGTTTGCTTGCTTTGTGATAGCTACCTTGTCCCTCAACCAGCCTTCTGCTACCTGCCACATTTTGTACATGTTCGGATCATAACTCTCAAGCCCTTGGGTATTATGGGAAATGGAGTTTTAAGCTGTATGGAGGGCACCAGATTAGAAAAACAGCCTTTACAATTATTTCAATGCACTCACATTCTTATTGTCAGGAAGTATATGAGTTACTAATACACTAGTATTTAGCATAGATATCTTTACACTCATAATAAACAGATAATACATATCCTAAGGAAGTCATAACTAAACTTATTTAAAAATATAGATTAATTGTATAAAAACTAGGGTTGTGGACCTGATATAACTTCTTATAGATACTAACAAGTTTGTTAGGTGTTTTCAGAAATGCTAGGAATACCATCCTAGGAAGATGCTTGCTCAACAACTGGGGTTCAAAATAGCTGTTATTTCTACTTTTCCCCTAGACACTTGCCTTGATCACCATCATGATATTATAAAGGATAAAGACCAAGATAATAGAAAAGAATACCCCAAATAAGGAATCAAAACCACAGACATTATCTTAAGGACAGAGTATATAGGGAATTGAGACCCAGTTTGGTCTAGTGGTGAAAGCACCAGGCTAGAAACCAGGAGACCGTGAGTTCTAGTCCCACCTAGGCACAAAGCCAGCTGGGTGACTTTGGGCCAGTCCCTCTCTCTCAGCCCCAGGAAGCAGGCAAGGGCAACCCACTTCTGAAAAACTTTACCAAGAAAACTGCAGGGACTTGTCCAGGCAGTCTCTGAGAATAGGACACAATTGAACGGATAGATAGATAGATAGATAGATAGATAGATAGATAGATAGATAGATAGGATTAATGGGAAACTGGCTGATGTTAACAACTGTGCAGTCCCAGTAACAGTTA